ATCCATTCCTTTCCTCTTTGACTCACTTTTCAGATGACCTTAAACAGACTTGCAGAATACACCTTAACCTTGGACCAGGTGTGCCTTCTCAACCCTTCAGATAGCGATCTGATTGAAGAAGATCAGCAAACTCCTTAAGTCTGAAGACTCCTGGAGTCTCCTTCATCTCCTAATATCCAACCTTTTCAGCAATCCATATTCCCCAGCTCTCTCAGCTTTTATCCTGCAACAAGTTCAATGTTGTCAGGCCTTCGTCTTCCAGCAGCTTGAGGGGAAGATCCCGTCTTGGTCGTTACTGGTTCCAGACTCCACTCTCCGAGCCACACAAGAACCAGGCACTCTAATGACAAGTGAAGCAAGCCACCGCAACCAGAATTCATCCTGCCAACAATTTGAGCATCCATTAGCTTCAAACATATCCAAGTGGACAGCGAAACATACCTTTCAATCACTCTGACAGAGCTAAACTGCACTGCATTAAGCATATTGACTCCACTTCCACTTCTGGTGATTGTGTGTTACTCGAAGTTTCCATTTTTTAGGGACTCTTGATTGATCTCATAGTTGTTTACAAGAGTTAGCTAATGCTACCGTGCTTTAGTTTAGCTGTTAACAACTTTAGCTTAGCAGCTAGCAATGGCTTCTCTCTCTCCCTCTCTTGCTCTCCCTTGCTTGGTGTGTCAGATGGTCAGTTACTCCTCTGCCTGCTTTAGTGGTAATGGTACATGTAACAAGTGTAGTTTTTTGTAGCCATGGAGGCAGGACTCAGTTATTTGGAAGTTCCGCAGATCAGTAGATCAGTCAATAGCTACGGTAGTTAGCCAGCCCTCGGTAGCCGGTACGGCCTGGCATCCCCAAAGCAGCAGAAATCAGGGTGGCGGGGTGACTGCCGTAAGCATAAAACCACGGATTATCGGCAGCTAAATTTTGAGAAATGTGAAGTTAGCGAAACCAGCAGCCATAGGATAAACTTAAATACAGTAAGATTGTTATTCATGTAGGCGGTAATGACTCCCAATTATGGCAATCGGAAGTCACTAAGGTCAATGTCAAAAATCTGATAAAACTGAAGTTATTGTTTTTGGAGCCAGGGAGGAATAATTGAAAGTCAGTTCTCGAATTCAGTCTGTAATGATAAGAACCACAAATCAAGCCAGAAATCTTGGTGTAGTCATGGACTCAGACCTGAATTTGAGAAGCCACATTAAGACAATTACAAAGTCGGCCTACTATCACCTGAAGAATATATCAAGGATTAAAGGACTTATGTCTCAGGAAGACCTGGAAAAACTTATCCATGCATTTATCTTCAGTCAACTCGACTACTGTGTCCTTGCAGGGCTCCCTAAGAAATCCATCAGACGATGGACGCTGCTGCTCGAGTCCTCACTAAGACCAAAAAGGTGGATCACATCACTCCAGTTCTGAGGTCTTTACACTGGCTTCCTGTATGTCAAATAATTGATTTCAAAATCCTGCTGTTAGTTTATAAAGCACTAAATGGTTTAGGGCCAAAATACATTTCTGATCTTCTGCTTCGTTATGAACCATCCAGACCTCTCAGGTCTTCTGGGGCAGGTCTGCTTTCTGTCCCCAGAGTCAAAACTAAACAAGGAGAAGCAGCGTTCAGTTATCATGCTCTGTACATCTGGAACAAACTCCCAGATAACTGCAGATCTGCTCAAACTGTAAGTTCTTTTAAATTAAGACTGAAGACTTTTCTTTTTACTATAGCTTTTAATTAAATATTTAAGAATTTTCTTTTTACCACTGTCTTTAAGTAGTAGATTGATAACTTACACTGCATTGTAACTTTACTGTCCTGTTTTCTTTTTCTTTGTTTTTAGCTTTTTACCATTGCTTTTAATAAAATATTTACACGGTGAGAAATTAGTAGGTAATTGAGTGAAAAGATAATGAGAGTGAGATTGAACAGAGTGAAGGAATTGGTCTTAAATCTCGCACCCGAGTGATTTGCAGGAACCTCTGTCCATTTGTAAACGCGCAAGTGGGTCCGGAGTATAACTGGATCAAAGTGGCCTGCGGACAGACATGTCCTGGTTTCTCTGTAGTGTCCGAGGGTTTTTGGAGTTTCAGTGGACCCAAAGATTGCTATGGACCAGAGTACAGACTAGCTAGAGAGAGCAGATTAAGTGTACTTCTGTGTTTATTCTCTTTTAAAAATAATTGTAATTAAATAATTGTAACTCAATTATTTGCTCAGCCTGTTTTTATTTTCCATTTAACTCTTTTAACCCTGATTGTACACTGCACTGTAACTTTTATTATATTTGAATGTGTTTTTTTTCAATTTCCCTATGTTGCTTTTAAACTTTTTTTTTTTATTAAATTTTTTTATATTTCCCTGTTTAATTTCTTAATCTAAACATCAACCTGTCTCTTAAACCCCATCACAACGAGGCTGCTTATAGAAGGGCAGGCCAGGGCAAACGGGGTTTAAACCTGTAACCTTCTTGCTGTGAGGCGACAGCGCTAACCACTGCACCACCGTGCCGGCATTAAAGGAACCACTTTAAGCTGGTTTAAGTCCTATTATTAGATCGATATCAGTTTGTACATGTAAATGATGAATCCTCCATGCATGCCAAAGTCAGTCACAGAGTTCCACAAGGTTCTGTGCTGGGACCAATTCATATGCTTCCTTTGGGCAATATTATGAGGAAACACTCCATAAACTTTAATTGTTATGCAGATGATACTCAGTTATATCTATCCATCAAGCCAGTTGGAACAAATCAGTTAGCTAAACTTCAACTGTTCATTTAGGATGTTACAACCTGGATGACCTGTAATTTTTTGTGATGTTATATGCAGATAAAACATTAAAGTCATTGTACTGAGGCCCAAGCACCTCCAAGACCTTCTAGGACCGCCTTTTTTGCAAAAATCAGGAACATCCTGTCTCAAAATGATAGGGAAAAATCAGTCCATGCATTTGTTACTTCTAGGCTGGATTACTGCAATTCCTTATTATCACGCTGCTCAAATAAGTCCGTTAAGACTCTTCAGCTGATCCAAAATGCTGTGACACGTGTTCTGACAGGAACCAGGAAAACAGATCATTTGGGCCCCAGCATGAACCGTGCAAGGTCCCTGTTGAAACTGAAGGGATTATTTTTTGGGCCCGTGCACAAAATTCAGGCGCAGCAAAAAATTTCGTATTTTATGGATCTCGCACATGGACGTGGCAAAATCGCTCGCGCCCCCTACAGAGCTGTCCCCGGACTAAGTTTCACCTACGTGTACGAAATTTCTGTGGTACATGTATCATGTCCAGAATTTTGGCGATTTATACATCTTGTACAAACTCCTCCTAGGGAATTGGGTCTAAACCCATTGAAAGTTGGTTAAAACAGTTATTATCAGTCAACCAGTTTGCCCGTGGCGTGCTGTCAAAAATCGATGATTCACTATGAAACAGGAAATTGTTCTAACTTCAGTATACATGCTCACATCTGCACCAAATTATACATGTATAATAAGAGTTGCGCCCTGATATTCACTCAAAGTCATAGCGCCACCTGCTGGCAACAGGAAATGACACATTTTATGCTGTAATGTACTACTCCTAGCAGTCATATCAAATTCAGAACTGTCCCAGAAAGCCCCGAAGACATTAATGAAGCCATGTTGTTGCAGTTAATGACGTGGGGGTGGCATGGCGGCAAAGTGCCACGCTTCGTGATGACACAGGAAATTTTACACGTTTATTAAGAGTTCTGCCCTGAACACATATGCATGCCGACATTCACTCACAGTCATAGTGCCACCTGCTGGAAACACTAAGTCACCTTTGATGAAGCTGCCCCCCGCCGCACGTTTCACCTACATGTATGACATTTCTGTGGCACATGTATAATGTCCAGACGTACCAAAAAGACTCTGGAGCGATGCCCTAAACACAACAGGAAGTTGGCCATTTTAAACTTTAGGGTTATTTTTCACTTCAGATTTTCTCTGTCTGCTGTAAAGCAATTGACGATTACAAGTTGTACAAACGGTGAGTTTTCATGAAATGGCATGCCCGTGGCGTGGCGTCCAACATCGATGATTCGCCACAAAAGAGGAAGTTCTTTTAACTTCAGTTTACATGCTCACATCTGCACTTAAGTTTGTGACACTTAAGTTTCTGTAGTGTCAGCTTCTGTCAAGCTTAATGCCATTGTACAACAAATCAAGGTACAGCGTAACATGCAAAGTTGATGCTTCATCCGCAGACTGGTTTACTCTCACGTGTCATATGACCAGAGTATAATCTCCTTTGCAATTAGAAAATCTCGATTTATCATATCGCGATAATAGCGGAAATGCAATTAATCGTTGAGCCCTATTTTTAAGTCGCTTTGGATTAAAGCGTCAGCTAAATCACTAAATGTAATGTATTGAAAGGAAGGGTGGCTATATTGGTTACTAAATGCCAAAAAGGCCAAATATTTTATTTGTGTTATTACACTTACTAAGAATAAACAGGTAGTTAGATAATTTAGTTGCCTAATAATTCTGCACTAATTACTGTATATATTTTCCTGAGCAAAACAAAACTCACTTTTCCTTAGTTAAGTTTGAGGTTCAATTATATTTTGGATTGACTGACAGCATTGTTTTTGTTCAACGATAAAATGAATCCCGAGAATAACAATTTGCCTAAAAATTGTGCACTCAGTTGTGGAGTGACAAGGGAGCATCTTTGCAACTACTGGTGGCAGAAAAGAGAACAGCATGTTGAAGTTTAGTAGGCTGGAGGATTTGTGCTTGCCATGGCAGGGGTGATGTAACTGAACTGCAGCGGGACACTTTAAAGTGCTAGCACTGTATGTACTTTCAGTACATTCATGTGGAATGTCCTAGTGGAAAAAGTGTGTTACATCAGTGTCTGATTAGAAAATATATAAATCTATGTAATATTTTATGAAATAGTCTGTCACATTGCTTTACATTTGCTGTGTGTTTGTGTATGTGTGTGTATGTCTGTGTTTCAGGTATCCCAGTTGAATCCAGGGTGAACATCTTCATTAACAGCTTTGGGTCCATCCAGGAGACCACTATGGTAACACATATACACACCACAAACACGCATTATTTTGTTTCTTCATTTTCAAATTCAGATTTTCTGTCTGCAAGATACCACTAGTGTATATGAAATAATATTGTAGTAATAGTGTTTTCATAATTTCGGTGACCCAACACTTTGACACTAAATAAAACATAACATGGTAATATTAGTATTATTAGCAGAGCAGTAATAGCACTAGCACTTTAAACAGTAGTAGATGTACAAGTTGTAGTAGTAGTAGCAGCAACAGCAGAAGAATTACCAGGAGTGACATGGTGACAATAATTAATGCAATGTCTTTCCCTACAGGACTACAGAGTGAATATATTTCTCCGTCAGAGATGGAATGATCCTCGCCTACGACTTCCTACTGACTTTAAGAGTGAGGCACTAACTGTTGACCCCAACATGTTCCAGTGTTTGTGGAAACCAGACCTTTTCTTTGCCAATGAGAAAAATGCAAACTTCCATGATGTCACACAGGACAACATTCTGCTATTCATCTTCAGGAATGGAGATGTCTTGATCAGTATGAGGTACCCAATTTTATTTTATTTTTTTAATCAATCTCCATGACCCATGGCCTCCTTTTTAATCTAAATAGCACTCTGAGCAACACATAATTATTTTGATGGAAATTACTTCCATCTATTGCCATCTAGTGTGGTTTATGACCAAATTCTTTCAAAATGAATGACATTCAAGGTAGGTAAGTTATTTATCAGTATACAACACAAGGTTGTACAATGAATTTAAAGTTTTAGCCTTCAAGTTACACACAGAAATGCAAAACAATTTATCGAAATAATACTGTACATAATTATTTATATACATATATACAGTACATTTATACACTCAAGAAATAATTCTGCAGGGTTAGGGTAAGTTATAATAATTTGTATCTGGCAGAATGTAAACAGAACAATATAATTCAGTTCAATTCAATTTTATTTATGTAGCACTAATTTACAACAAATGTTCTCATAGCGCCTTTCATATAGAGCAGGTCTTGACTGGACTCTTTGTGCTTATTATATACAGAGACCCCACAATTCCCGCCATGAGCAAGCTTTTGGTAAACAGACAAGGAAGAACTTCCTTTTAAGAGGCAGAAACCTCAAGCAGAACCATGACGGGTGGGCGACCATCGACCAGTTGGGGTTGAGAGAGAGAGACAGAGAGAGCGAGAGAGATAGCAAGAAAGAGGAAGAGAGGGCTGTTCTCCACACAGAAGTACAGTAAAGGTAATAGTGGTACAAACTGACAAGCAGGAATATAGGGGCAGCAGGTGACTTGCAACCACAGATCCAGACTCCACAGCTCCAGAGCCAAAACCACCTGCAGGAAGTGATAGGAGGAGAGAGGAGAGGGACTAGAAAGTACAAGACTACGGGAAAGGGAAGAATTCAAGTTAGTAACATGCATTAATGGGATGAGGTTGCATGCAGATGGAGAGAAAGAGTAGTAATTTTCACCAGTGCTGTCTCTGTGCTATGATGCACTCTAAATCCTGACAGCCTGGGGCAGCTGTGGCTCAGGAGATAGAGCGGGTTGCCTGTTAATCAGAAGGTTAGTTAGCTAAAACCCCTAGATCAAGAGTGGGCTTTTTAAGATGAGGTTAATTACAGCTATTTAAAGGACTGTGGTACATAGCCTGTTAATAAAGACAGGTTGATCATACAGTATATATCATATACATATATCACATAGTAAAGAAGTGCTGATTAAAGTCAAACTTTCTTTAAGCAGCCTAGTTGGGATGGGGTTACAGGTTAATGGTTTAGATGAAAAAATTATTGAAGATAGTTGGTAAAGATCGAGGGAAGCCAGTTCAAATCCACCGGCTCACAAGCTCTCTTCTGAGTTACGTAGATGCTACTTATCTGAGCGGATACCAGTAGAGAGAAAGAGAGTTGGGGGGCGTATACACTGCACAGTGCCAGAAACAGTAATGAATGTCATGGAAAGGACTGAAAGTTGTGAAGATTTGTCATAATTCGGGAGAGATGTGAACCCCGGGAGTAAACCGGGAGAGGGCAACGAAATATGGGAGTCTCCCATGAAAATCTGGAGGGTTAGCAAGTAACAGCTAACCAAGGCTAACCGGAATTAAATCTGTGGCTCCTAGTTTACTTCTGTACGACAGCGTGGTGCGTGTGACGTTGTTTTATTCTTCTGCGCATGTGGGTCACTTTCGGGCTGTGGACAGTACACACTGGCGTCTGATTTGGGTCACATTACTGTCAAACAAAAAAATTGGAATCGACCAGTAAGGCCTGCAGTCTGAACGTAGCTTCCATGACCTCCGATTGGCGTAATCGGAAGTCTAACAATTTGTATTTATGTTTATCCTCAGCTGGTTCTCTTTGCCTGTATGTATATGAATGAATGGCCCATCTGCAGATATGTACACGCTTATGCAATACGCAAAGATGAAGGCTGTTCCTGTCTTTGAAGGGATTCAGTACGAAGGGTTGGAAGGTCTGTAAGACAATGCTCTCCGTGCCTGGTGTGGTCAATCATGTGGCATGGGACTTCAAAGATTATTTTTTTTCTTCATTTAAGATAAAATTTCCTCCACGCTGAAAATAAATAAATAAATAAACGACACTTGTTACATGTACCATTACATGTAACTATTTTACATACAAAGGAGGCAGAGGAGTAACTGAACATTTGACATACCGAGCAAGAGACAGCAGGAGAGGGAGAGAAGCCATCGCTAGCTGCTAAGCTAACATACTGTTGCGTTAGCAACTAAATCTCTCTAAAAGAATTAACCTCTGTAATGACGAATCTAACACATTTAACAGTTTTTCAGTTAGAGCACCAGAACACGCTATCAACTAGGGCTGAACGATTTTGGAAAATAATCTATTTGTGATTTTTTCAAACAATATTGCGATTGCCCAGCAACCCAGCTCGTTAGGGTAGGGCAGTAACAAGGTATTTGGGTTAAATTAAGGTGGTAAGGACAACTGAAATCAGGTTGAGTCGAAGTTTAATTAAATGAGTTGTCTCCAAAAAAAAAACACAACAAAAGGAGGCTATGTAGGTACTGACAAAAAAAACACTTAACAAAAGGAGGTCAGTACCTACATGCTGTACAGGAATGTAGTGTAACCAAACAAACAATTTTGCCCCTTAAAGGGTGCCACTCACAATCTAGTTTACAAAGGTTTTTACTGACAAGAGTCACTTAAGCCGGCAACCAACAAACAGATCAGATTTAAACACTCAAGACATTCACAGGGGTACACAACCAACAACAAGGCGAACTGATCACTGGCTCACAGTCGCCTCGAACTGCAGGAACACAAACTATTTGTAGGCCAGCTGGTGTTGATTGGTGAGTTCTGGTTGGCAGGTTCGGTAGGATCCTCGGCCACACCAATCAGACGCCAGCAAACAGCAACCAGGAAGTGGGTGGTTCCAGGTCCAGGGGAACCAATCCTCGACAGGTGCTTGCCGTGGGGATTTGCATACAGCTCAGAGAACTCCAAAACACAACTACTCTAAGGCAGCCAGCGGCGGCCGTAACAAATATGCACTAAAAGCTTGCTAAAAAATAAGTTTTTATGCTTTTAAAAGAAGACATTGTTTTAGCGGGCCTTTCATGTAGTAGAGAATTCCAGAGAGTAGGACCATAACGGAAGATTATTTAGAATATATTCTGGGCATAATGAGGAAACCTTTACTTGATGATCTGTCCAGTGTGCATTCAGTGAGATTATGTATATAGTTTTTTAAATTTCTTTATGAAATTAATCACTTTTCTATTGCCTGTTTGTGAAGAGGCTGTAACATCACATAAAAACTATCCACTTGCCGGGTTTTCCTGTTTTTCCTGAGTCTCTTGTCTGCTGAATCTGTACCTTACACAGCAGCAACACTGCAGATAACAAAATGGAGTCTCCTAACACATAACCCGCGTTTCCACCAAACGTATCCAGGACTTTTAGTCCCAGGATCTACTTTTCAAGGAACTAAAAGCTTCCTTCAGCCCATTGTTGTGTGCATTTCCACCGCTGTCTAAAGACCTGTGAAATTTAGGCAAATTAACCAGCTGACATATATTATTACTCTGATGAATGCCAGGCAGGCATCATTATTTAGTTTTTGTGGGGGGGGTATAATGAAGAGACACACCATTCAAGTTCATAACAAATTTAATAATAAACTGGACAGAGCCATCAGGTTCTTAAAAGAACAGCACAGAGGAAGAAACACAAACATACAACAGTTTGGAAGGTCATTAAAACATTTCCAGCTGACAAGCGCTGCAGATCAGCTCGCAGCACTTACATCTGTGTCAGCCTGAGCGTCGTGGAAAAGAGACAAGCAGTAGTAGCAAAACACCCGAAGTGAGTTCTTCAGGAGGTTCCTAGTTCTGGGGTATGGTTCCTGCAGTGGAAACATGGTTATAGCCACTCTATCAGATTCATAGTTGATTAAGTTAATAGGGCTGTTTTTTCCTTCTCCTGATGAAGCTTGTGTCTGTGTTTCTGTGCATAGGCTGTCGGTGACGCTGTCTTGTCCCTTGGATCTTACGCTCTTCCCAATGGACACACAGTTGTGTAAAATGCAGTTGGAGAGCTGTGAGTCCACACACACACATATACACACACACACACACACACACATACATACACATACTGCTGAATAATTATAGGCAGTGACAAGAAGACACAGTGAATGCAGACAACTACAAAACAAAACAGGAAACAGAGCATGACACTGAAACACAGAAAATACAGAAACGGATGGGAACATGGACAGACCGACAAGTGGACAAAAACCAAAAACGACCAGGATGAATAAAACAGAACACTGAATACATGTAAAATCTAAATGGAAAAGAAACTAGAGATAAGAGATAAACTAAGACACAGGACGTAAAACTAAGATAAGAAAACAGGGAATGAAACAGAAATGGTAATAAGTGAACATGGCTGAAGATGCAAATAAACATAACAAGGCTGAACAGAGGAAAAACGAGACATGGAACAATAAGAAAACCCCAAACCATGACAGACTCTGTTTTGGTATGTTACTCTTAACAGTAAGAAATATCTGGCTCTTTAACAGCCAAATGTTCCACTTTGCTGCTAACTTTGCTAGTCTGTTTTATGGTGCTGGAAAGGTAAGTGTAGAGTGAGAAGTAGATGAGAGTGGTGAAACTGAAGCAAAACTGTTAAAGGTGTTTCTTCTGTTCAGAACTGCATTGTGTATGTGATTGAGGCCTAACCAACATGTAGAATGCACATAAATCCTGCATTCATGGATTCAGTCTTTGCCTTCCCTATTTTTGTTGCGCATTTGCTGTTAGCACAATTACTGACACTTACAAATGATGCCCTTTTTTTTGAGATACTTTTATTTTAGTGTATTGGGTGGATGGTGCAGCGGCAGTGAATTTGTTTTTCATGCAGTAGGTCTGGGATTAAATCCCCGCCATGACAAGTTACTTTACATTTTTGAAGGAGGGATAAAATGAGTAAATGCGCCTTACAATACCTTATCGAACAGTCAAAAACTTTCCTCTTCCTCCTAAATGTAAATGTATGTTTCTTGTATCCAAAGTGACTTTTGTGGCTTTTAGTGAAGCTTAATCTGCACAGACAGCTGTTAACATTACACAAATATCCCACTCTATATGTGTTCATAATTTACTTCATAACCAGACTTGTCAGTAAACCTGCTTTCTAGACTACCTGCATCCAGCATCTTCCTCCACAGAAGGAGCTGCCTGTTAGCAGCATCTCCTGTGGAGCTGAGTGGCTGACAGACAGACCTGTTAATATCGTTAAGAATACCTTAGGTTACATTCATGTGACAATATTTTTATTTTCACTTTTATACCCCCAAAAAATTTAAAGAAAGTTTTAATGACAGAAATTTAATTCCCGGACCAGACCCATAAAGAGCAATGACATTGGCGTTGAGTGGGAATTGAACCCGGGTCTTCCGCACCAAAGGCATGTGTGTTATACTCACACACATACATACATACATACTCACCTCAAACAGATATACATACTGACTTTGCACATATATACATACTTAACCTCACGCAAACATACATACTTACGCATGACAGTATGTATGTATGTGCAAGTGAAGTATTAAATTTTGGCCAAGGCAACTTCTCATAGTAAAGTACAACATGTGTCAATTGTCCTGGCCCCTGGTCTGTTCGACAGGAAATATTCCATGAGGTCTCAGTTAGCTGTGCTGGACTGGCTTATTTGTTTACTATTGGAATTTACCTTTTTTATTTAACCACATCCATTACAGCAATCCAAGTTTAAAATTACTTTCCTCAAAATCTCCACCCTACATGCGGACTTCCAGTTTTGTGCTCAGTTGAACTGGATTGAACCTCATGCTTTATGGTAAATAGTGGAGGGGTAAAAATTGGATCGTGGACAAAGAATCTTCTATAAGGTCTGTCACCAGTATTGAGTATTGGAAAAAAACGTAAAAACTGGGAAAAGGGCAAAACAAACTGAGTTTAAAAACTGTTTGAATAATAAATAATTAAATGTTACTATATACATGATGTGGTAAATCTGCTGAAAATATTAGATTATTAATTTTAATTTTTATGTTTTAGTTGGCTATACTACCAGCGATCTTGTGTTCATGTGGCAGTCTGACCCAGTTCAGATGGAAGAGATTGCTCTCCCTCAGTTCGACATCAAACAAGAGGACATAAAATATGGAAACTGCACAAAGTACTACCAAGGAACAGGTTAGTAATTCTTAATTATATCTCTCTAATAGTGGTGGGCAACGACTAAAATTTTTAAGCACAATTAACTGCATGATTTTCTTGTGATTAATCACATTGTAATGCGCAGAACTGAATAATTAATTCTCCGCACTTTTAATTTAAATGTAGCACAAAAGTGCAATAACATGAGGTTTGCAAACAATTTAAACAAATAAGGTGCTTTTTACCAGCAGTATTCCCTTTAACCAGTAGCAGTAAAATATTTATTGTAAATCTCAACTTAAACATTAATGTAATCAAATCAAATATTAAACCAAAGCTATTTGCCACTGCCAGGGCATTACCTTTTATCTAGCTTGTTAAAACAAGTTACCATCAGAGTCTAGTTTTCTTAGGGTTTTTTCTGAACAGGTATCAGCCTCACATGCATGCTACTGAAGTTGAATTGTCTTGAACTTTTTGTACACGACTCACAGCACAAATCATCGTAAGAGAGACTGATCCTGGCTGTTTGTGAGTTTCCAGAATCTCTTAGTGTTTACTAAATAGATATCAGGACATTAACGCACGGCAGACCATCCCTGCAAAACTAGATGAAGGCCTATCAGGTAAAGTTATGTAAGTTAAATAGGCTACAGCTCTGTAGCACACAGAAGCCGTTGCCATGGTTATTATCCATAGCCAGCCTGCCGTTTATTCGCGGAACGCTGTCTTACTTGTCCCACACGCTGCATCCAACGTAGTCTGTCGAAGCCTTCCTTCCCTGTTTATTTAGGTGGATGATATGCAGCAACGCACTTTCAAAATATATATATTTTTTAAATGCATTAACGTGAGATAAAATAATTGTTGGCGTTAATTAATTACTGCGTTAACGTGCCCAGCCCTACTCTCTAATAAAGGAAGGAATCTGTGTGTGTGTGCATGTTAAAGTCTAACTTTTTATGGCTTCTAGCCCCTCTGTGTGGTAGACGCAGGGAAAGAAACGTGGTTACTTGCCCTTTTGGTCCTCCTGGAGAGTGTCGGCAGGTGACACCTTTACGGCGAGAATTCAATTCAATTCAATTCAATTTTATTTATATAGTAATTTTATTTATACAATTGTCCCAGAATAAACATTTTAAGCTTGGAAAGTATGTTTGAGTCTTGTGCAGCAGTCCTTAGCCTGTGTCCTTCCTTTGCATGCAAAAAAGGCCAACTCTTTGGGTCAGCCTGATCTGTAATAAAACAGGTCTCATCTTCTCTCAATGTGAAATAATGTGTCCACTGGTTGTACACTACACAATCTACACATTTGTGATTTTCTTTTTCTATTACTTCACATTTCTACATACAAGTTACAGATTTTTGTTTTGAAGTCTGTCATAGTTCTCACATTGTATTCTACAAGTGCTTGCATCAAGTCTACAAGCTCTCGCATTTTGCACCAAATTTACCTTCATATTCATGTTACATGCCAATCACAGTGACCAGAGAGGAATGCAGTGAAAATTTCCAATATTTCTCTGAATAAGGAAAAACATATATATTAATTCCTTTTAGTTGGGGTCTGCTTCATGTTCACACTGACTTAATTCAGTTCAATTCAATTTTGAATACCCAACAATTCCCACCAAGAGCAGCACTAGGCGACAGAGACAAAGAAAAACTTCCCTTTAAGAGGCAGAAACCTCGAGAAGAACCATGGCTCAGGGTGGGCGGCCATCTGCCTCCACCGGTTGAGGGGGAGAGAGAGGGTGAGAGAGAGAGAGAGAGAGTGAGATAACCATAAAAGGGGAGAGATTCTGAATTACATTGTTGGTGAGAAGTCATGTTTAAAGCTGATGATACACGGAGCAACTTTTAGAGCAATGGTGCTGGGCAATGTTGCTGTCAATGGTAATGAGTAAAGATTACTACCGTAATCCCCTTCTCCCGCCACTCCGCCACCCTCCCCGCACCGCCGCTATCCTTTCAAAACATAGTCAGACTTGCCACCAACAAGATTGCCCAGCAACATTGCTCAAAAAGTTGCCCCGTGTATCATCAGCTTAAACCAAACGCTTTTTTTCCATCCAAAAATTGGATAAACACCGACTTTTTATGAGGAAAATGCAAAAGAAGTGACCACAATACACCAGAGGAGAAAAAAGATGAAAAATTAGGAGAAAGAAAGAGAAAGAAGGAAAAGAGATACAGTTTGAAGAAGGAGCTCAGAAACAGCATCAAACTGAAGAGAAACAAACAAGGAGAGAACAAAAACAAACAAGAAGAGGATAGAGGGACTCAAGCAAGTTACAGCAAACTACTGGATACTGAAATCAGTAAGTTTTTGCATTTATTACCATAAAACAAGTCCCAACTGAAACACTTAAGCTAATAGCTAACAAGCTAACACTGGACTGTGGTTACCTAGCAACGGCATCAAACAGCAGTAGTGCTGTTTTAAACACAGAAGCTTGAAGATCAACAACTGTTTCATGATGTCTCCACACTCTGTTGACTACCCCCCAGCTATCAAAAGCAAAACTGCAAGAGGAAAATAGAAACAAACATTACTTCGAGAAAGACCAGAAATCCTGTTCCTTGACCACTACAAAGATGGAAGATCCTGCAATTTAATCTTCTGGACGGATGAACCATATGCCTGGCTTAATGTGTTCAGCTCTCAGCACCCAGCAATAAAGAGAGCAGGCATTTGTAATGGATGGAAAATAAGTGTACTGGAAGAAAATGACTCTGTCAACAGCAGAATAACAGTAAACCTGTTCAAAAATGGAACTGCCATGATACAAGGCAACCTGAGACAGTTTGAGCTCGACTTTCCTGCTATGAGACTGAGAGCTGAGAAGGAGAAGGAGGTCCTCGCAAGCATCGCTCCAACCCTGGGAGTCAAACCGTCCTGTTCTGTCCCTGCTCCAGACAGACAGTCTGCAGATGCTGACACTGATCCTCTCCTGCTCCAGCACTCTAAGGCCCTGGACATCATGAGAGAACACTTCCCCCAGATGGAAATAGAACTGGTACAGATCAGAGAGCAGCTGGACCAACAGCAACCTACCTCTCCTACTGTCAGTGACTTCCAGGCCAAGAAAGCACAGGACAGTGTCAACTCACAGCTGAGAGAGTTTCAACAAGAACTAACTCGTCCTTGTAAGCTTGTTCCCTTTATAAATCACAATCAACTTGAAATGTGGCCTATGTGAGGAAGCGCCATGTCTGATCCCTTCAAACGCTTAGAACTGTCTGTAAATGGTTAGTGGAATTAATATTAATACGTACTGACTGTGGGACGAAAAGGAGGCAAACTCTGACAGAGGAGCTGCAAAACGAGATTTAACTCAGCGTGACACTGACGTTCCTTTTGGTGAAGCTGAAGTTGTTTGGTGGGTAAAGAAATGCACTTTCATGCAACGCACCAGAGGAAAAGGGGCGCCGGGGCTCCACTGCCTTTATAACCGATCTGCAGGAACTGACCGAAGGACACACACACACACGCAAGACGGGATGACCCCGGCCCTAATTTGGATTCCCCCCATTTGAAAAGAGAGTAAACGAAATGCATTCCATCTGTGTTTAAACATGTATTTAGGTTACACAAACAATCCACTCACTTAACAACGATGGCGATGAGTTAAAAGAAATAGCCCGTGACTTATTGTAAACGTGTTGGCAACCATTGTATGACCATTTATTGAAAATTAGAAATGTGAATTTCGTTAAAGGCTTGCCATCTTCTTCATGTGATGATACATGATGCCTTTAGATAAAAACAATTTGTTGATTATTGATGATTTAATGAATGATGCTAGCAATAAGGTCCAAAATGTGTTTACAAAATATGTGCATCATAGAAATTTAAGTTGTTTATACCTATAAATGCCTGTAAACCAACCTGTAAATGCCTCATGATCTACAAATCCTCCTACAATAAATTTAGTTATTTGTCCCAAGAATATATTTTCTTTATTCCAAACACGAGTGCCCGTTGGGACGCTAAAATTTTTAAGACGGACTCTGTCTATGGGATATTTCACATTGCCATGCGTTAATGCCTTAGCGTGTGCTAGCTTAACAGCCGGAGATACGGTGACTTTCTTTACAAACAGGCTTGCTGACATAATGTTAACCCGAAAGTCGTCTACAGTGTTTTTAGCTCTTATGAATTTTATCTTGAGGTCTACTCCATTTATCATTAACTTGTCTTGAAAAAGCAAGTCAGAATGTAAAGGGGATATTAGCTCCACTACGCGGCCGCCTTGTGTGTACTCCATTCTTTTAACTAGTCCCTCATTGCGTCCTGCAGACGTTACGTCGTCCATATGACCTGCTGTATCCATGCAAAATAGTCCGGATCCAAACTGTGTCTGCAGAGCGTCCTTTCCATAGTTCAAAAGGCACTATTATACCCCTGTAAGGATATGTGTTTGATGATTGCGTTATGAGTTGGTCCCCCAACGATATGTCGACCTGTGAAAATATTGTACATCCAGGGTTGTTGATAAAGCCCACTTCGTCTGCTTGATCCAGGTTTCCGCCATTAGCTTTGGTGATATTTATGCGCGTGTACAGAAACATATCGTTTAGATCCAGGTAGTCCTCTGTACTTGCTGGAATGAAAAATTCAAGGGGTGCAGAGTCTGATACCGCCGCTAGAGGAGGGAATTGGATGTAGACACATTTCTCAATACTTGTTTGTGTTAACGGCACCATAAACAGGTCTAGCTCTGACTTGACGCGCTCTTCTGACAGGCTATGTACCTTCTCGTTTGAAAATGTCTCTTGTCTTCTGACGTTTTGTCGACTTGCTTCTCCTTGCTTGTTTATTTTTTCTAGTCTTAGTATGGGTCTTCTTATTTGTTGTTCGGCTACGCCTCTTTGGTGGGGAACTCCCTCTTTTCCCAGGAGGTCGTTTTATTGGTCGGGGGGGCCACGGCCACTATACCCGACCCCTCTTGACGTGTCTGTTCATGACGTTAGTATAACATCCGTAGCTATGTTTTTAGCAGCTGTCTTTAAATGAGGGGCAACAAATGTAAATCCT